CAATTCTCTAATTTTGGTGAATATTTTTGTAATTTTTGGTAAAAAGTGATATTTTCGACTTCTTGTTAAAAACCAATAGTTCAATTGCTTTGATATTACATATTTAGATACTACATGTAGACCTTTCTCAGATTTGTTCGTTTCGTGATGATATCTTCGATTCTATAATTTTGGTGAATATTTTTGTCATTTTTGGTAAAAAGTGATATTTTCGACTTCTTGTTAAAAACCAATAGTCTGATTGCTTTGATATTACATATATAGGTACTACATGTGGACCTCTCTCAGATTTGTTCATTTTGTGATGGTATCTTCAATTCTCTAATTTTGGTGAATATTTTTGTCATTTTTGGTAAAAAGTGATATTTTCGACTTCTTGTTAAAAACTGCAAGTCCGATTGCTTTGATACTATACATATTGTTCATTTTCTAATGATGTCTTCAGTTCTTTAATTGAAATGTGCACTGCTAACAGCGGAGCTATCTCAGCCGATAGGCTGCTTGTTTATATGAAAAAAACGTAAAATTTGAACTAGTTTTATCGGGAGAAATTATTTTGGATCACTCGATCACTTCGGTGAATAACACAGACCCGCCATGATAGTTGTGACGCATTAGTTGATCGGCATGTGTCCTTTGACCCGGTGGGTCAAAAACGCCATTAACCAATCAGAATGCCGCATGGTAATGCCGGTAGAACTCGAAGTTCTTCGAATGATCGTGATCATAAAACTTACATTGCGGAAGTAAAGCGATGTCGTAGCACGATGTGTTGGTATGGATTTCAGATGAAAACTACGTGTTTTTTTTTGAGTAGCGTGAACTGATCGTGAACTCCGCTTTGCTGATGTTACATCAGGGTGGAATGATTTTGAAAGAATTTTAGCTTTCAATCTAAAGACTGCGTCTATCATCAGAAAGTATTTACTGCTACTTACAAACAAAGAGGTGCTAATCTTACAAAATTGACTTGTATTGTTTAAAACCGCTACCACACGACTATGTCTATTGTTTACAAATTATTATCCACGTCTGGCAGGATGCGTGTCGGTCGGTACGTAAGTAAAATAACAATCTCGTTGCCATATTTTTTGTAGAAATTTTACTCTTTTGTTGGGATAAATTTATGTAATTATATATGTGGTTAACGTAAATAAGAAAAAAAGAAAAAGTAAAATAACAATATGACAATAGTCCTGGTCGGAAGCGTTTCTGTGGTGGTCGCTAATTTTGAGTACCGGTCGGGCCGACCAGCGTGAAGAGATCCCCAATTAAAAAAGCACTGTGGCGGTCTTGCTAATCACTGTGGCTGTGTCAGACCGGTGTGGCGGCAAATAGAAGCACTGTGGTGGGACTGCTGGGGAGAACACTGTAGTTGTAGATGTATTGTCTACTTTTATTTGGCACTGCTAATTACATACTGTATACAACTACGATGACAAAAATTTAAAGAAAATATGAACAAAATATATTTATATGTAAAATCAGGTAGTTTTGTTTTGGTCCAGTGGTTGGTGACATAACTAAATAAGTAGTAGCTATAATGCCATTATAATAATTATAAGATAAGAAAGAAGGTAGTCACTCAATCCTGTCATAGAATCCTAAACATGATATGGCTTCTGTGTCAAAATACAAGTATATGTCAGCACCTCCACTTGCTTTTTTCCTTGTACAAAAATTATTTCAAAAAATAATAACTGACAATAGATTATACAGTACATGTTTAATCTATCTATTGATCTCATTAATCAAAATTGATCCAATCAATAATGGCTGACTGGCAGCAATTTTGTTTTAAATTTTGCCAATATAGACTCGCGCATGTTGTCTTGTAGTCCAAGATATTTAAATTCACTAGATCAAAAAGGAGTATATAAAGTCTTCAATCTTTCATTATTTTATATACAGTTTCGTATAAGAGGGACTGTGACTGTGTCCAAGATAACAAAATGAAGTTAGAGAACAATAATAATAAGAATGTATTTTGCAAAACAGTATTGAAGACATTGATCTGGAGGAAGAAGAAGATGAAGAAACAATAATAGAAAGAAGACGTCAAGAGAGACAGAAGTTACTGCAAAAATTTAAAGTAAACGAGGAGGATGAGACTAATACCTGGGGACTACCTTTCTCAGATGGCTTGAGTAGAGATGTCACACCGTCCAGCACACTTGATAATGAAGGTGATGAAGACGAAGAAGAAGAAGAGGAGGAGGAGGAGGAAGAATCAGCAGCAGAAGACGAAGATACAATGGATTTTGAAAGTTCCATGAATGATAAACTACAGTCTATTAATTTTGATCAAGGTTAGTGTTGTTTCTGCCATGTTGATGGTTAGTGAATTTCATGTCCCTGTGCAATTAACTTGATTCTTACCAAACCTTTGAGTTTATATCTGTGAATCTACATTATACCATCTAGTGTTTCTAATACTTTCAAGGGTATGATACACCCCGCATCCCACACAAGGCTCTATGGGATTTGTGACTGTACAAATAAAAATGGTTAAATTTAAAACCCACACAATCGCTTAGCTTGATGACTTTTAGTGCCTCACTACTGACTCCAGCTTAAAATTGTGATTGCTATTCATGTATTCTTATTTTGCTTTCTTTCAGATGGTTGTAAGAAACCTACTTCAAGTTTTGGTGATATCTTTGCAACTGATGATGATATGTTTACTGATAAGCATGGTGTAAGTACACTTGTATGTCTATCTGTCCTTGAATAAGAACCTGAAAAACAATTCAGTAAAATGCATTCTTTCTACATGTATGACAATTATATTTGAATTTGTGCGAAGTGTTGTATATGGAATTCATGATTTCCATAAATAATGTAATAGGCTATCCTCGGGGCGGAGCTACGTCGAAGACGTTCTACGTTGCTAAGACGCGCACCACTGTACCACGTATTTCTATGGGCTTTGTGCGCGCTGCTGTGGAACACCGGTGGAGCCGGTGAAAACTCGAGAAAACAACACAAACTCAACTTTGAAGTAATCCTGAACAACTAAATTCATATATGTTGCACACGTAGGGCTAATCTTGTTACACTGTTCAGGGGACTCTCAACAACCATTGCAAAGTACCGTTTTCTGTGAGTTTTTGGTCTTTGTTTTCACCGCGAGGGTTGCCAGGCGGTAGAAAATGTCCGGATGTCCGCCCCCGAGGATACTTGAATATTCAAATCAAAATAGAAAGCAAGTTATTTTAATCATGCTAGTACTATATTGAGTCAACGTAGTAATCACGTCTGATCTAGTGCCCATCCCTACTTTTGCATCCAAAGTTTGTCTCTATAATCATAAAACCCGAAATAAATTTACAGCATCACGTCTGTTTTGACTATGGACAATTGTGAATGGGTAAAAATGATGACAATGATGATCTGTTATAACCCTGTCAAATACTTTCACCACATTCAGGTTACCTTTAAAAAATCACCAGTTTAAAATAAAACATAGATTGTACTTCAACAACGTTGTTGCGAGTCAAATCGTGCAGAAAAACATCATTGCATACAATTACAAACAATTTCCTGAGTCTCATTGCGTTTACACATTGTAATTCACTTAAATAACTTTTGATTGTGATTGTTTTACAGAGTCCAGCAATGCAGCTACATGTTAATGAGAACCCTAATTTAACAGATAATTGGGATGATGCTGAGGGATATTATCGTAAGTGTTACTTAACTTAGGTCACTTGGATACACTATCAGATGATGGGGATGAGAGGGTGGTGAAAACCTGTGATTTCATTGTGATAAAATATTTTTTTAATAGGCTTCTAATTATAAAGAATTTGTTTCTTTACCACGGTTAACTTTACTTGAATGTTTTGTTGTTGAGGGGGTGTGTGGGTCTGGTGCTCCCTCTAAATCCATCCTGATAATGCATTCTGGAAACTGAATTCTTGGTACTATGGCTATTTTTATGTCAAGTTTGATTGTCATTCTGTATTTTTTGTCTTAAATCAGGAATAAGAATTGGTGAACAACTTGATAAACGGTACAACGTATATGGTTATACTGGTCATGGTGTATTCAGTAATGTAGTTAGAGCACGGGATATTCATAGAGCCAACACTGATGTTGCAATTAAAATCATCAGAAATAACGAATTAATGTGAGTATGCTACAAATTACAGTGTTACCACGGTTTACAGACATATTTTTGGTGATCATACATGCATTTGTAGTTCAAAGTCAAATAAAGTTCAAGAACACTGATCTAAAATTTACATCTGTGCGTCCATGTGTGCATGCAAGCATCTACAACTGTGTCTCGGACATGCCTGGACTGATCATACATATTACATACATCACGTCACACGTATGTTCTGTATTTGCTCTATTACCAGTAGTAGCACATGTGCTTATGTAAATTACAGAGGTGTGTCAAAATAAGTAATATTTCAATGATCCGTGTACAATAAATGCAATTTTTGGTTATACGTGCTTCTATTGGAGATGTTCTAATAGAGCAAACACTGTATAATTGTATACATTTGTTTCATGATCTAATTCAAGACGGCCGATGGTGGCCATTTTAAAGCTGAAAATGCATTTCTGTCATTTAGGAACCAGATCTTATGGACATTGCATGACAGGGACTATGTCATGTCAACGATTTGTCAACCTTTTTTTGCTGAAAGTATGTTATCGCTATAATTTTGTTGTCTGATTTCAACACTGATACTATTTCATTAAGTGCTACTGTTGTCACAATGCATGGTTATGTTTCATGTAAACATTAAGTCTTCACATGTATACAATATATGGGATGGGTGCCATGTATGGAGACTGATTTTAATTTATATCAGGTATTTGTTTAAATCGTTTAAATATTGTCTGTATTATCTTTACAGGCACAAAACTGGTTTGAAAGAGTTGGAATCCTTAAAGCGTCTAAACGATGCCGACCCAGATGATAAATTCCATTGTCTGAGGATATATCGTCATTTCTTTCATAAGAACCATTTATGTATGGTATTTGAATCTCTCAGGTAAGTACACTAATTTTATGTTGCAAAAAAAATGAAGATGAAACGCTATACAAACAATAGTTATACACAATACAAACTTGCTTAAATATCTACATTTTGTTTGAAAATAACCTCCATGCATGATACAGTTAATTATGATATGAACACAATGGACGGGAGGTGGTCTACCGTAACTCAACAACTAAGTTTGCTCATAACACTTACTCTCAGCTGGCATCTGTAATAAAGCATATCAATTGTGTTTTTATCTTAGTATGAATCTACGTGAAGTATTGAAGAAGTATGGCAAAGACGTAGGTCTGCACATTAAAGCTGTCAGATCCTACTCACAACAGTTACTCTTGTCATTAAAATTACTGAAAAGAACCAATATTCTACATGCTGATATTAAACCAGATAATGTATTGGTAAGTGACTTACATTCGCTTGACAACATGGCGTGTCTAAGAGTCTGTTAACTGGCGTACAAGTGATAATAAAACAAGTCATTGTCAATGACACGTCCCCGTTCCGTTCATATTTGAGTGACATATACATTCAAAGCAGATCATGACCGAAATGCACCTGCATATGTACAACATATTGTGCTAAATCTGAACAAAATCCATCCATGCATGACTGAGATCCGGTTCTGGAATAGTGAAAATACGTCATTTTGATGCATTTTCGGCCTTAAAATGGCCATCATTTCGCTATTGTTAAGCAGATCATGAAACAAAGGCACATATCTATTTGTGACATGATGTACCATGCGTGTGTGAAGTTTGAACTTGATCAATCCAGACATGTCTTGGATACGGATCCAGAACTGAATTCTTTAACAAAATGGCCGCCAGTCGGCCATTTCGAACTTGATCCGAAAAAAAAAAAGACGTGCATCAAGGTCCTATTATGTTTAATGTATGTACCAAATTTGAACAAAATCCATCCATGCATAACTGAGATCCGGGTCCGGAATGGTGAAAATGTGCGATTTTGATGCATTTTCGGCCTTAAAATGGCCGCTATTCGGCTATCGTTAATCGGATCATGAAAAAAATGCATGTGCATATGTCCCATATAATGTGTGATGTATGAGTGAAGTTTGAACTCAATCGGTCCATGCATGTTCGAGATACAGGTGATCACGGACGCACGCACGGACGCACGGACGCACACAGGGCAAAACATAAGTCCCCGTTTTCGGACTGCGTCCGAACGGGGACTAATAAATGTGATTAATCTACTGCTATTTACTATATGGGGCAGCCATCTCGAATTAGACTTGAAACTAAAGAAAGAGAGACAAGTTGAGAAACAGGTTTTTAAGATTTCTACAAATTGGGGAAAATAACAAACTTTCACAGCCAAACGATTCGTCTCTTTTATTTATTTTCAAGCTGTATTCAAGATGGCTGCCCCTATATAGTAAATATCTTGATTGATATTTGATTATCACTTGTACGCCAGCTGACTGTAGTGTCAGTATTCAAATCAGATCATATCGACATGCAATTATGTTATAGAGAAGTAAATTGCATTTGTTGATAACATTGGAATTAAAGTTTGGAAATAACACTGAATAAACATCATGTCAATATCTACCATGTTAATCAAAGTAAACATGTATTGTTGTGTGGTGCTGTATGCTTGTGTTGAGTACATGGTTACTTTGATTTGCATGGTGTTTACCCTGCTATTTATTCATTGTTATTCTGTGTTTTACATATAAGTAATTCATTTTTTAATGCTTAGCATAAATAAAGGTTGTATATTCCCATTGGTTTTTTGTTTTGGGGTTAGTGTGAAGAATTATTACTGTAGTTTTCTGATTTCAGGTTGGTGTTGAATTTTTTGACAACCCCAAAAAACTTTAGAAGCATAAACATTTTCACTATTTCTTAATAGCATGCACACCTTTATGCCAAACCCGTAAAGATGAACTTGCTTGCCTCCATTGTTTAGTGTTTATTCCTACCTATGTTCTTGGTTTCAGGTGAATGATTCTAAACTTGTGTTAAAGCTGTGTGACTTTGGATCAGCCTCCCATGTAGCGGATAATGAGATAACCCCTTATTTAGTTAGTAGGTTTTACAGAGCACCAGAAATTAGTAAGTATTATAGTTATATGCTGTTTGCATCATCATTCTATTTGTTTTTTTCCCAAATGACCCATATACGTGTTTATTTGCTTGCTACGATGCTGAGATTAAAGATTTACTCTAAATCGCTTTAACAGAATTTTTCCGGGTGTCTGACATTTGTAAAAAGCTGATGGCACAAATGCTATCGAATCAGAGAAATTTCTAGCAGTGGGATTTAAAACAGTAATCTCTAACCATGAGATCAGCTGCATTTATTTTAATTTAGCAAAAATTAATATTGAAAAAGCATGCATCTTTCAATTTACGGCATACCTTCTTATCATCATAATGTCACAAAAAATAGTTTTTCGGTATCTTACCAATCTATAGATTCACCCACCATATGAAAGTGAGGGGGTAGATCGAATGATTATCCAGTCATTTGTATTTTGAAACCAGGATGCACGTTGTGCGAAGTATAAAAACAAAATTTATCTCTCTTTTGTCATGTTTTGTACTCCATTACTGTAAAATACTTTATTTTAGCTGGAATTAATTTTCACTGATTTAAATATAGGAAAATAGGTATATTCGCTGGTTTTTATTTTCACTGAATCATTCCTTCAGAAAAAAATTAATTGCAAGCGAAAATAAAGCATTTTACAGTAATCAGTGAGCTCCCACTTTTTTGTGCATACTGTTAGTCACACTTCAGTATAACTGCTATGTTTATTTATAGTAAACATTGGGCACAGTACAGCATGAACTGCCACAAGGAGGTATTGAATACCCTTAGGTTATAGATCGCTGTGGCTATTGCTCATTGTGTAACGCACATTTTATTCAGTTCTAGGTATGAAATATGACTACGGTATTGACCTATGGAGCACAGCTTGTACCATTTATGAGCTGTACACCGGTAAGATTCTATTCCCCGGTAAAAGTAATAACCACATGTTAAAATTAATGATGGAGCTTAAGGGGAAAATGCCAAATAAACTCATCCGGAAAGGCACACTTAAAGATCAGCATTTTGATAGCAACTATAACTTCAAGTTTGTGGAAGTTGATAAAGTCACTGAACGGGTAAGTCAAACTACTTTGAAATCAGTTTTAGTGTGATTATTTTGAGTACCATGTTGGTATTGATAAAAATTTCACCTGGAGATCCACAGTCCACTATGTATGTATATTGGTGCATTTTTAAGTTTTGTATATTGTAGAATAAGGTTCAATACTTGTAGAAAGTCTAGAATTCTTCAAAGAAATAACATATGTTAATGTGCTCACCTCAAGTTACTGCAGTGCATTTCCATTATAGGTTGATTTCAGTGTGCAAAAATAGGACTTACCCCTGTTAAAGTAATCAGTGACAGAATTTATTTCAACATTAAACTATTGTAAAATACTGAATTAGCTATTGAATTTAATAACAAAATTATATTGTTGTAGTTTGCTGTTGATAGGTAAATGCACTAAATTTAAAAAAATGAATTTAAAAAATGGTAAATATTCCGGAAAGCTAAAATTAGCTAAAATTAAATCCAGTGATTATGTCTTTCTGTATTATTCAGTGAATTGATATGTCTCTGTTTTAAATGCACTAAATGTAAAAAAATGAATGTAAATATTCCGGAAACCTAAAATTAGCTAAAATTAAATCCAGTGATTATTTCTCTTTCTGCAGTATTTACTGGTTAGTGAATTGACATGTCTCTGTTTTTTCTTTAAGTGAATTCGATATAACTGTCTTGCACCGACAATACCTGCTTTGGTATAAGAGACACTCCGCTAAGCAAAAAAATATGAACCTATTTTCTTTCACAAACTGAAGCAATTCAAATGATGCATGTGCATCGTATCGTCTGAGTAGTGGTAAAGTGAAATACTTGTTTTCTGTATCCTGTAGGAGAAGGTTACTGTCTATGGAACTATCAACCCAAACAAGGATCTTCTAGCTGATTTAATTGGCTTTCAACGGCTGCCCGCTGATCAACTACGTAAAGTCCAACAGCTCAAGGATCTACTAGAGAAATTATTAATGTTAGATCCATCAAAACGACTTAGTATCAACCAGGCCTTAACACATCCATTCATACAAGAAAAGATCTGAACTATTGACATTCTGATGAACTTACGATACTAATCATATTTTAACTATATTACTCTTTTGCTTACTTCAAAAAACAAACAAAAAACATGAAAACATGTTCGAACAATTTCGTGTGGTTGAATAATATTTTTATTTTGTAACTATATATAGGACTGCTGTAAAATAAGTGATACACAGGCAGTCTGTGATTGAGTGTATATAGGAAGAGAAAGGCGTTTCTTATCAAATGGTTCATTATCCACTGTATATCTAGATACAAACAAGATGACAGTCAGGTACAGTCTATGAATCATGGTAACTTGTTTTTTTAACATGAACAAACAACAAATATTGTTTTGACTGTGACAAAAATACGCCTGCCTTGTTTTAAAGGTATTCTCGTTTTAATTAGGGAATCAAACCATGTTTAATACTTATCTGTTGAGTAACCTCAGCAGTAAGTCTTGTTTTTTTTTCAGCATCATTTTGTGTCATGTTTTTAAAATATTTCGATACCAGATGTGTAAATAATCTTGGGTTCAATGTCTGTAACTACTATTAAGATGTTTAAACAAATCGAAATGAAGATTTCCATATTTGGGATACATTAGACACACTGCTATTGTTAGGAGTAGTGGTATTTTTGTCTCGTTGAGTAGGGATTGATTCCAGTTTGTAATTCTGTAGGCATTTATTGTTGGTACATGTAGTAATAAAAGTGAGACTCTCACCAAATCTGCTATCTTCTTGTATAGTGTTTGACAGCATCATTAACATATTCCCATGTGCTTTCTCTTTTTTTGTTGGAGAACCACTCTCAACAATTGGATTGAGTTCAAGTTTGGATAGTACAGCCGAAACTGTAAACGGTATTATGGTATGTTCTGCAGCCTGGTGCAATGTCACGGAGAGAGGGAGAAACTATTTTATATCACGTAATGTGAAAGTGTTAATTTTCTAATGCTAATGCAATTTGTTTCTGCTCAATTTGGATGTTGTCTCTATTAAAACCTGTCCTTTGTGTAAGCACTAATTATCTATTGCTTGCAAGTTTACAATTCACAGTCAGACATGAAGATGTAATATTCGCCCATAATCTGGGTCAAAAAGTTGTTAAGTTCTCTGAAAGTTTGTTTGTCTTTTTTCATGCTTTTCAGAGGTTAAGGATGCGATGTATTTCGATTTTATATGGCCTCATGCGGAAGCTGAAAAGTCTGATAACGATGGCTTAATTATTTCCATGTATATGCTGCGAGATTCCCCCATTTGAAAAAAAGATGGCTATTCATAATATTGCATTTTATAATTAATTCCTTTTGGAAAAATTCAATTCTCAAATGGTGACAATAATTGTTCTATACATTCCGTTTTGTGTTTGTATTACCATGACAAAACATTTTTTTAGGTTCCAAAATCTAGCTGAAGCATCCTTAAGATCCCCCTCCCCAGTTGACTTGTTTTGAATCATACTAGACACATTTTACGTTTGCTTGCATTGTCACTAGGTGGCTGGTTGGAGGAGAGAAGTAACAGATGGCTGAACAAGAGGCTCACACAAAAGGTTGACATATAATAAAACACAGTAACATCATATTCCTTTACCCTATTACCATTTATGAATTTCAAGTTATTTGCTGACGTTTCTTGTAGATATTAAGTTTAACATTGAAATGATGCAACAAAGTATCATTCTATTCATAATATGTTGAAAATTCATCTTTTATCAGAGATGTTGAAGTTTAGCAATTGAAAATGAAAGCTATCAGAAAATCCTAAATCTTTACCCTATTATCATTCATGAATTTCAAGTTATTTGCTGATGTTTCATTTGCTGACATTTCTCGTAGATATTAAGTTTAACATTGAAATGATGCAACAAAGTGTCATTCTATTCATAATATGTTTGAAAATTCATCTTTTATCAGAGATGTTGAAGTTTAGCAATTGAAAATGAAAGCTATCAGAAAATCCTAAATCTTTACCCTATTATTCATGAATTTCAAGTTATTTGCTGACGTTTCATTTGCTGACGTTTCTCGTAGATATTAAGTTTAACATTGAAATGATGCAACAAAGTATCATTCTATCCATAATATGTTGAAAATTCATACTTTGTCAGAGATGTTGAAGTTTAGCAATTGAAAATGAAAGCTATCAGAAAATCTTACACCTGTGATTATGGCCTTCTTTTGCAGCATTGCAGTTTATCATTTGATCTTTACTGAACCTCTGTTTTGCTTTGTTTTCATCTTGTATTATTACAGGCACCAAGGTATGTCATTATGAATTAAAAAACTGCTAGCAATCCAGATTGAAGACCATGTTTCAAGGAAGAAAAGAACTAAAAACAGCAGTAAAACTTTTTGAAAGTAGTATCAAAGCAACATCTGTATTTGAATTGTTTTATTATTCAAAAGTACTGCTTATTAGTGTTTGGGTTTTGTTTGTTTGTTTTTACATGTTTGCTTAGGCACTACCTTCACACAAAAACTGTTGCAAAGTTCGAAATTGTGATTTCCTGCCTAGTACTGTTCTATTGAAGTCACATTTCTATTTCTAAGTTTTGTCTTTGGAGAATAATTCTGTTATTTACATCTAACTTGTAAAGTCACCACCAATATGTACAGTACCGGCTAATATTGCTTTCAATTCTGCAAATTTGTTTTTGCTGCTGTTTTTTTTTTTTAAAGTTTTTCTAAATAATGTATTTTGATTTTTAATTTGCATGTTATTGCTTCACTGACAATCATCGTTTACTGATAATATGCAAATATATGCACTGTTAATATATTTACCTTGTATGGATTTGTTGTTTTTTCATCAATAGAGATTTTACGCAAAGCATGTTATTTAAATGATTATATTAAATTTTGTTAAAACTTCAAAATGATGGCTTGTTTTTCATTTGTGTATAACATACCAGTAGTTGTTTTTGGGCATTAGATAAGGTTAATGAGAATGAGAAAGGGCAGGACCGCGTGCATTTCACAGCACCTTACTTAGCTGCCTACCTACTTCTGTTCATTGAAATTACAACAAATGTTTCAGTGAATGTTTGTTTGTAACCCTGAATATTGTGAAATGAAATTCTTGGATTATTCGGTCGATATTCAAATAAATCCAATTAAATGAACTGGTCCATCGTTTAGAGGGATCCAAAATACCAACAGAAATCTTAAAATTTGTTAATCTTGTGAGGTATAAATAAATTTGAAATCTACCTTCAACTAAATAATAGCAAAACCAGGGTTTTACTATCCCAAGTTATTACAGCCTTTTTACACTGCAAACTGTTAATCTCAGATCACCACTGAAACGGTATCACATTGTTACCATGTCACAATCTTATGTATAAATCGCACATTATGCTGACTTAATAATATATTTGCTGTCGCATACAGAGCAGACCATGGTGTACAGACGTGCTCGTGGTGTTACCATCTCATTCTGCAAGACTTGAATGCAATTTGGTAAGATAGCCCTCGATTTTCCTAAAATTCAACTCTGATCTACAACTTGCTGTGTAAAACGTGATTTTTCTCTGAATTCATTTATCTTTTGCCAAAGACAACGAAAAGCAACACTTGATGAAATCAATGAGTACATACAGCCGTTTCAACATTTTTGTCCATCTATGGTTCCCATTAATCTGCATATTCTAAGTGATCTTTGAACGATGAAATACAAAAACAACGGATAAAGAGATTAGTCTCCAAGCTTGATGGTGTTATGTCTATTTTATGCTATTGATAGTACATGCATATATCCTTATATAAATATTCAACATCAAATTATAAAGCATGAAATCGTTGAGTAGTAGTTACATCTTCATTGCCACTTACTATGGTGATAATTTACAAACAAACTTTTTACCCAAACAAATCCTGTATTAATACCCAACTTATGGTTTTGTCACACTGAAAATGTGGATATACAGAGCAGATGTATATAATATACAGAATGCAAAATCGGCAATTTTTTCTTCTTGATATATCTTCCTCACAAAGATGTTTCACAAATGGCATCACCAATACTGATGTCTGTATGATGATGCAGCCTAGTGACGTTACTTGCATATCTATTCTCAGTGTTTTGTGATTGACATCGTTTGTAGACAATTTGCATAAGAATGAGAAATGCTGCCAGTAATAATGAACAGCCAGCTGCTATAAATGAGAGGTCATAGTTCAATGAAATGTCATATATCCAACCTGTAAGAAACGTATATCGATGTGAGGATAACATGATTGCACATTTCAAGATATAAATCACAAGGTGATATATGAAATAATTGATCTGATATTTGGAGGATGTAACTCAAATTAAATGTAAATTTTAAAATTGATATCAACAATAATGTACAACCTTTTTCATCCTGTGTCAACAAGCATTTTGAAAAATATATTTTGACCATTTTCAAATAGACTGTAGACTCCAAATATGCAATAAAATGTACGGCAAGTAATGATTTTATGTTTTTTTGTTACTCACCTCCAAATGGTGGTCCAAGAATGTACCCAATACCACCATAGAATAAATACCACCCAACTGCACTTGATAAGTTTTCTGTTCCAATACAGTGTTTTAGAGATACAACACTGTGTAGGGGGACGCTCATACTGTCCGCAATGCCATACAATGCTGCGAACAAGGGCATACACTGCATAGTTGCTATTGGCAACAGAAACTAAAAGTGCTGATATGCCACAAACTGTATACCCACAGGCGGCAATGAACATTGGAGACACGTACCTCAAATCAACAAAATAGCCATGCAATGAACTCCCCACTATATTACATATTCCAATTATTGTCATCAAGAAAGCAGAATCAAGTGCGGGTATCCCATCGGATACTGCTCTATTCACTATATGAACCAGGAGTACGAGTTGACCGATAGCAGCTATCAGTACCGTGACACACAGTATACGGAACCAGGAATTCGTGTATAACTGTAACGCAAGGTGGTGAGTGATTTTGCGTCTTAAACTTGTACTGTTACGAATTTCTTTGTTCCCGTCATCCTTGCGTGATTCAGATGATCGCGTTGCTAACAACGAATTTGCACATTCGTGTTGATTTACATACGTACATCCATTAACATCTCCATTTTTGACTTCTCGGTCATATTTCGGTGGTGGTCTCATTAACATTCCACATACAACGATATTCATATTGATTCCTGCCATTACAATCATTGCTCCCCTCCATCCGTATTTGTCAATTAACGTCTGATACAGAGGCGGAAATACCATTATGCCGACACCGAATCCAGCAAAGACGATGCCATTGGCTAGTGCGTGTCGTTTGTGGAAATACTGTCCCACGATCACGACGCTTGGTCCATAAACAAGTGCAAATGCGAATCCTGAGTTAAAATAAATAATATATTCTCATCAGTAAATGACAATGGCATACGTTATCCAAGAAAACCGTGTGCAGTCAACACGTATGGATACATAAAGAAAAAAGGAACAGTGTTTATTTATCAGTGCGTGTGATCAAGATTACAATTAAAATCTGTATGTGTTTAATAGATAGCAATAATATACGATGCATTGCACCAGGTCTGTTGTACATGATTTACACTACAATTACAATCCACTGCGTGAAGTCACAGTTAAAGGGCGGTAGTCGTCGCGCCATACATGCGCGAGATATATGGGTCTCATATAAACAAAGAGATCAGCGAGACGTTACCAAGCTTTAATTATTTTTATAGGTGATTGGAAGGTATCGAAGGATTCACCGGCGGTAATTAATGCATGTCACGCCCAGGTCGAACCTCAATACTTGTGATTTCCATTGGAAGAACGCATTGGATTATGGGAGAATCAATGTTTATCAACACAAATGTCGCACATGCACAGCGCGTCGACCACCGCCCTTTAAGCACTCGATGCCATACCATGGTACTTATAATATAATACATATGATACCATAAGATTTTTTCGGTGGATTGGGATTTGCTGACTAAAATATATATACTTGCTATTTTTTATTCCTTCATTTTTGAAAAGAGATTACAGCAGTTGCGTTCACATTAGTCGGGACCCACATCGGGACCCCTTCGGCTCGTGTCGAAATCACGCCCTCATTCGTCGATCTGTTGTTTGACCAAGAAATGGAAATAGATACGCATATGATGATAATAATAATTGCTATATTGAAATTATATCCATTTGTTGTTATGGTATTACGAGTTATCGTGCACATAAACGGCAAAGAAGATTCGAAAAACAATTATTTTTATACGACAATTTAGCATTGCAAAAAAACACCGGTTGCGAGCAGCACATGTACAAATATGCGTCGCTGACGACGGTTTGCATTCATTTCACTCATTACTACAGCATCCGATCATATATAGCTTCACTTCCCTCCGTCGTCATGCCATACTACTGATACTAATATGAATCAGTTTATGTTCTCTTAAATTCATGCAGCAAATCTCGACACGTGCCGAGTTTCGGCCCCAAGAATCCATCAGAACCGAGTTCGGTTTTTTTCGGCACGTGCCGACTTTGTCCCGAGTCTCGGCACGTGCTGAGATCTCCAACTGTGAACGTCAATTGCATTGGTTTATATAATGGCTTATATTAAATCTTTACTACGCCCCTATTATCACAAAGATGATCTCAGACAATTTCAATTTCTAGCACTGAAGCATTCTGTGAACAAACAGGTTCTGGTGACGCATACTTCTTTGGATGTACTCCCTTGGTGGACTACCATGGGTAACCTAACCCAATGGGTCAGTGTACCCCCAAACTGAGCATGGCATTCACCATGGAAGCTTTAGGAATGGAGTAGGACTCTTATTAGACTTGCCAGTGCATCACCTCTGGTAGAAAATGACTGCAGTTCAGAGCGCACAAACTGCCATCTAAAACAAATTAAGGGTCGTAATACGACAATGCAACAGTGGAAACACAGCTCAACAATGTAGTACAAGGTCATGCAGGTGTACAAGTTACACGCCTGGGGGAGCTCAAACTATTACAGTAAAGTACAAGGCCGTTTTAGCCATTTTCAAACTGTGTGCAGTGCCCAAATTCCGACTATACCAGAGTCATTTGCGATGCTATTGCGAATGGCTTAAAAGAACTACCATCTTCTCTACCCAATTACTTTTGTATTGGTAAAACGCATATGGGAAATCTCTGACATAAAAAATGCTATTAACACCATTCTGTATTGCACACAAATCTCACTTTCAATATTTTACTGATTGTGATTGTCTGAATATGATGTTATTTGAGTGTGTGTAAATTATAAACTTATAAATTCTTACCAACTGTTATACCGTAACTGAATATGAATATGTTGACACTGTTAGCAAATGCACTGAAAAATATACCCGTACTAGATAATACACCACCAATAACAACCAATGGCTTGGTTCCAAATTTATTATTCAAAATGCTGACCAAGGGCCCTACACACAAAAGAGAAATAGATAGGGAATTGAGCGAATGCAGAATTTAACCTCATAAGCTATATTGAAATAAGAGCAATGATATATTTACAAGTTGTCTAATTCATTGCAAGAAATTATTATTAAATGGCGGTGGTCGTCGCGCCGCGTCCTGTTCGATATGGGACTTATAGCAACGTATACAACGCGTGTAAAATACATTGTTTATTTACATGAAATCCGAACACGCGCTGCGCTACAACCACCGCGCTTTAACAGATGAAATATGTATATAACCACATACATTCGACTTGGGGAAACCTTACCTGGGAAAAACATTACGCCTGATTGCAGCGATACAATTGAAGCCGTTTTTCCAGCACCCTCTCCGAAATAGTCCATGAATTTTACCAGAAATACTCCCATACTCAATTGACATCCAGCCATCAACATTTGTAAGCTATGGCTACTTAAAACTATAAGCCAACCACAGCACCATTCCGATCCACCAAAGTCGTTGCAAGCCATTAAGATTAGGCAGACCTAGAAAAACAGAAGATAATGTATGTGGAGGTCTTCAAGTTAGAAAATTAAACATATGGAAAAATACCATACAGAGAAGTGGCTGGAAAGTGTCATATAAAAAAAGGGTAACGGATATAATATTTATTTGTCATATAATGTCATAATAACGTCATATAATGTCATATTATTTGTCTATTGTATGCTTGTTTGTAAGTGGTGGTCCTAGAATCAGGTGCATCATGGGAACAAAGCGCGGTTGAGATTGTTATCCCAGCCCACATATAAAATCAAGTGGAGGGGTGTTTTCTTAATCTTTTCTGAATCTAGGTAGTTTGCCATGTAGTTCAAAAAATAATAGCCAGCAACACACCAATTTAATTCTCCAGTGATGTTGTTATTGGAATCTTTAGCAGTAGGTGTAAGGGTTGCAAATGTATTTCTCTATAGGAATATGTCTGTCTCGATATGTTCGTCATTTCTATTCCGTCCCATTAAATATAAACAAGGCATGTGTTTGCGAACAAGGTCGCCGGGTTGCAGAATATAATTTCTACAGCTGTATTCCTAGGCTAAGTGATATTCCTACATACAACAGTACACAACTTGTAAACCGACATTGTCTTGGCTACATACAGCTTTATAGACTGGCGCAGTCGGGCGATTAATTTGTTTTTTTGTTTATATAAAATTTAAAAAAATCGCGAAATGGAGAAGTTAGCGCGAAATCCCCTGTAACTGCGAATTTTTTATTTTTATTTTTTTACAAAAACAAACTAATCGCCCCGACTGCGCCAGTCTAACATTTAGTCAAAATACAACATCTGGAGCAACAGAGACGGGGAGACAGAATTCTTCCTCAACTAATTTTGGGCAAGGAAGGGGTTCAAACCCACCATATCAACCACAGGAGGCAGAGCCTATAAAGACTGAGGTATTACAATTTCCGATGGAGGCTCTGGCAAAACAACAGGATATAGAAGGTTATTTTCATGATAATGTCAGGTGGCATACTTTGAATAATTCATGCGTAAATAACAAAACGTACGATACATCCTTTGTATTTTAACCGATTTTGAATCTTTCAATTTAATCGTTTAAAGGAACACTCACTAGAAAGTGTGGTTTATCAAATCACAGTCACAACGTCGCAGTGCCTGTGAAATGGCTGCTATTTTCACGCCTAAAATTATCCATTGAAACATAAATATTATTAATTTTTATGTTTCTAAGCATGAATTATTTTTTTTAAGTGAAAAAATGTGTTTTAAACTCAGTCTATGACAACTTTATTTTTGTGTATTTTAAAACGAGGCTCCTCATTAGCTTCTCATTTGCATAGAGAAATTCCCCTTGTGGCGTCAGAAGGGGAAGTCGCATGGCAGCTTGCATTGCCGATGCATGTAAATAAGGCAAATTTCTTGTGCAGTTTTCTCGTCTTTGACTAAATTGTCACTTATGTACTTGTTCGTCGAGGAAGAATGGACCATAATGAACACATAGTATCATTTTTTTTTGCATGGGGTTGAGTTAGATGCGAAATAAGTAGCTGGTCACCATGATCGTCACCGACTTCGGAACACGTTTGTACACTGTCGCTGGACAAAATAGAATTTGACGTCGGAATTATCTCGTTATTTAGCAGGTTACTAGGCACGTCACTACACTGTTTTATTTCATCGATCGAGTAAAACTTTCAAAATTAAAATAAAAGAGAACATATTTTGACATTCTAAACATTAGACTATAGTGATCACTATAAAATAATTAAAAAAAACGACAAATCACAGTTACGAAATAAATGACAGCCGGGTGGAAATAAATTAACATTATGTTGAAATAGGTGAACGCGTCGTGCGTTAAAAGCGGCGTTTAATTGGATAACAAAAATAATCGAGATCGACACACATACAGATAAATTCAGAGTGGATTCGAGGTAGCGTGATCCATGGCGTAATTGTCATAATTATAACATCGTATTAAAATTTTATTTGGTGGAAAGCCGACCAAGCCCGGATTCTCATTTCATAAATTATTACGCAGATCAAGCTGCAAGCATGGAGGTAAACAAAGAACAGAGGTGTGAATTCGACATTCAACACCAATCACCAAACAATTCAGAAACTGTTAGCCTTCGAAAATGAAAACAATTAGCAGTGTGTAAGGGCTGTGTAATTTTCTGTTCGTTCGACGCTTCGTTTTCGTGTCACTGTCAAAATTATTGCTACCTTTTACTTAACAAGGACTAAATAGTATCTACAAAACGATAATCAGGATCGAAAAAAAAATCAACTCATTTGAAACACTTGCCGGACGTCTTTCTCTCTCTCTTCTGAAATCCGCCTCGGTGATCATGGAATCTATTCCTCGGTGATCATGGAATCTATTTCTTTCAAAAGTGTTGCGCCAGGTTTACGTTGTCGGCGTTTCTCAGTTTTTCCACAAAAAAAAAGAATCTGAGGTAAAGTGATGTCGCACCTTCAGATCGATTAGAAACGTGTGAATACATACACTATGACTATATGTTTCACTGCAACTGCCCACAACACAACATCTAAAAACCTTCTCTCTCTCTCAAAAAAAAAAAAAAAAAAAATAGACAAAAAAAAAAGAAAAGAAAAAAACGCCGACCGAAAAATGTATATCGTTTAAAAGTATACTGAATGACCAGTGTTATTACGGCTCAGGGGTATGACCTCCTCTCACATTTTGTCATTTGGTGGCGCACTTTCGGCGACAGTCGACCGTTTCACGATAGGTGGGCGTGGCTACAACACGAGAAATATCCCAAATTTATTTGGATACGAGTAGTCATTTTCAGCAAAAAAATCAATAACTGCCCATTTCAGTGGGACACAGATCTAAAATGGGAAACGTGAGGGTGGGCATTGCACAGGCACTTTTTAGCGGGGGAGTCGTCACCTGCGAATGCGTCAGTAGGCCATAGAGTGTCATCCTCTGGATCTATAAGCATAAGCAAAAGACGTAATGACTGTATCTTGGTGAACTTGGGCGCATATGCGTTTCCATTATTCCTACTGGTTTTTGCACTACTGGGGAAAGAAGCAGCTACATCAAACGTGATAATTTCAGTGATGATCCGTAATTGTGAATGTGGTTTCCACTCCAACTGCCACGTCTAGTAGCAAAGCTGATATGCTTACCAGATGACAGAACTCGCCTCTCAGGCGTGACTTTGTATGCTCAAATTTCCCATTGAAATCTTTCTATCAATAAGGTGTAAAGTGAGTATCAAATTCATGGGAGGGATAATTTTACATTTTACATATTGAAGCCTTACTTATTCACAACACCTCCTCCTGTCATCTGCGCATGCGTCAGATGGCCATAGAGTGTCATTATTTACAAACAAGCGTCTACTCATGATCCTTTGCGTTTTTAGCGTGTGTTGTTATCGTCGCTTGGGACTCAATTCCCGCGCGTGCGCAGGTGACGACCCTCCCGCTTTAAGAAACAGTAATTCGCACGAGCGTGTTCGTCAATAGAGGTACGATCTAATACAGGCTGTTCACACGTGTGGCGTTATATCCGATAACCCACACATTCTCGTGGTGTTTTTCATTAATAAAACAGCTAGAACAATGGATTACATGGCAAAAAGTGGTATAAATGATATTAGTTGGCAAATAGTTCATTGTTATAATAATCTCAATTAAGAATATCTCACTAATAGTATGTGTTGTGCAAGAAGTCCGACTTGCTGCGAGGTAAATATAAAATAATTTTAGTAATAAAAGCCAAGTGTTGAGTTTTTACATATGGAAGATAACGGGTATGTGAAATTTGGAGTATCGCATTTAGCTCAGCTTGGAAGCAGCTTGTTAGGGTATTTCAGGATCTCTGCTGCATCGCTACACTGCGGAGCCAGTCCGAGAATACAGCGAACTGTAAATAAAAGACATTTAATTTTTTACATCGCTTCTTGTATACCCCAGTGTTTGTCACAGAATACATGTCAAGGTTGCACGACTTAATTTGATCCACCAGACTCATTAGTGCACACAAACTACTAGTATTACTCGAGCATTTATGACATATGGCTGAGTTGTTAACTGCGTGTCAAGTTCAAGGACATCGTATACCTAGTGATGCCCTAGCCCACCTAGTAGACACATAAGGGAGAATAGCATTAAAGTAAACTGTAAGTCTCATTTACAGTGGATCACATACCAGTATGCGTGGTACCGGTACTAGTTCCTGCAGCTAACAATCCGTTATATTTATGGTAGTAGAAGTTGTACTGTAAAAGCCCAACACGTTAATACAGATTCCAGTTGTTATATTCTGCAGATAATATGAACTATGAACTCAAGTAACACACCATTCACTGTATGTAAATCGGGGTCACCTGACACACACTGCGACTCGTTCTGAACTTTTAATAGAAACTACAGTATTTATTGAGATGAATTAAATTAAAATGGTCTCCATTGTTTATTTTACGCTGTCATAATTTTTTGTTGTATAGTTTTTAATTATTATATAATAATATATTACAGAAGAGTCGGCAAGGGGGTATTTTCGTAAGCTGTAATCAATTGTTTTTTTATTTTCGTAATAATGTAATTTAAAACGTAATTTTTTAGACATGGACATGGTGAAAAATGTAATCAGCTATTTTATTCGTCCGTAATTTGTACAAAGATCTTATTTATTGTAAGCATATAAAGCATTTTCCACATTAAAAGTCGCAATTCGTACGCAATTTCCAATTTTGATTCTCAAACACAAATTATCAAATACATTATACAAATGTAATTAGCTTTAACTGTAAAATGTAAAAACCTATTTTTTTACTGTAAATGGAACTTTAATTTTATTTCCTGTAAAAAAGTAAAATGCCTTTTTTATTTCATGTAACCTGTACCAGCTACACCCCCCCCCCCTGCCCAGTTCTTGGCACGAGGACACTTCTAGACGGGCGTATTTTGCGATAATGTATGCGTTTGTATATAAATATATAGACCGTTTATAACTGGCTTTAC